CTTGTGTAGTGTAGCATGAGCTGAGACAGTCAGCTGACCTCTCTCTACCCCCATGTGTTTCCATCAGTTTTAATGGGACGGATGTGTGCGTTTCTCATGTGTGCCTCAGTTTCAGTGATGTGAGTGACAAGTTGTATTGCTGCTTGTTTGGATGAGGATGGCCCTGGAGCCCGTTTCAAAAGGAGGTTTGACCAACTTGATCTCTTGAGTCTAAACTCTGAGCAGGTTGACTGTTGTGTACCATAAACAAAGTTCCTTTAAGGCAAGTCATTTAACTTGGCGGCCGTCTTTGAAACACCTCTGCTTGAAAGGGGGAACATCAAATTCACAAGTTTACAATTAAAGTACAAATGAAATCAAACTGACTATCGATTTTGTTAGCTCACATTGCTAGTTCTGTGGTGAACAAATTATCTGTGGATGTCATCGCGAAAAACGAATAGATGTCCTTATAATCTTTCATTTAAATCTGAAAATGCACTTCCTGTTTGTTTTCAGTTCTCAGATTACGTGATTTTATGGTATTGGGTGTGGCTAACATACTTAACCACGCCCCTCCAGCTGTCAGTTTTGACAACAAACAGAAATGGTGAGCAGGAGACGTCTGTTAGCTTGTAATAACTCTCCCCAAACCAATATCCCAGTCTTTGTACCAACTCCAATTAGCTTGCAGTAGAAAAAACAAGCCACGCCCACTGCTTTCCCATTTAATATTTCGTTACTCTAGGAACTGCGTTACAATACGGACAAAAAAACTTTGCAGCTTCCAGTTCATGTGGACTTTACATTGCATATTAGAAATCACAAATAAAATTAAACAACATCTGTATACTTTGTTTCATCTCTAAACGTTCGAATCACACAAAATCAGCAGAAACTCACATCTGGTTTGAGCCCCACTCCTAGAGAATTGTCAGTCTATAGTAATCGATGATTGGCTCCTGTACTAGCAGGCATGGCTTCATTCGCCATATTGAACGTTACATTTTTCAAGTATTCTCCCCGTATATTTTTGTTGCCATTATATTTTGGGAAAAGACATATATTTTTTCTCGAAATAAATAGAGAATTGTATTTCTTGAATTGCGAATCCTCTTTTATTTTGCTGACCCCCTCACTAGAAGAGCATTATAAATTGGGGTACGTAACATTAGTGACATATAAAAACTACACCGTCAACAAAAAGGCATTGCGGTGCCTTTTAGAACATAAAAGCGTGAGGAGGTTTAAAGATTAAACTTGAACTCTTGAGTTGACTTACTATTTATGTAGGTTGATTCTTGAGTTAAGCACATGCACCATAACTATGAAAAGCCATGATCAATGGAGCTCGGATAGTACTTTTACCATGGCAACAAAACCTAACAAATGTAAACAAAGTGAGTTACCATGGTAACCGATTATCAGTTTAAGTTGCCTCCCTTTTATAAACAGGCTTGACTTTTTGGGTTTTACATACATCCAGCTCTGAAATGGAAAACCCAGAGCTGTCCCTCATTTCAGGCTTAACATACTCAGAGTTTCCACTTAAGCTCCTTTTTGAAACAGGCCCCTGTTCACACTAAGAATGATAACAATAAAAATAACTTTATTAGCAACCACTGGATCATAATTTTCTGTTTTTCTATCGGTTCTACCTCTTTAAATGCTTGTGAAGATACCGATTGGCTGTCATGTTTTAAATCATTATGAAAGCAAGTTTAAGGAAATCATTTTAATGTAGTTTAGTGGACTTGGCTTTTATTTTATATTTAGAGTACATTTCTAAGTGTACTACAAAAGTTTTCCATTGTTTTTTTGAAAGATTTTATGTATAGATGATAATGTTAAGATTAAAACAACCACAAAACCATTCACAACTCATCAAAATAGGCTAATCTGGGTCCATATATACGCATACAGTCAAAATGATTGGACTGCCTGGCACGAAAGAAAATATTAACAGGTCAAAAACATGTTTCAAACTAAAACTGTGTCGTTATTTATTAGGCAAATAACCAACAGAAACAGCTTAATATATTTTATGAATTTGTCTTTTTATACTTAAATTGGATCAGGCGCATTAAACTTCTCTCTGAAGTCATAAATTACTCAAGCTTAAACCAACCACTTAATCAACATTAAACCATTTGTTATGGGGCCTAGAAAAGAATAAAAAACAGCATTTGAGCATCAGAATACAAAATAAAAAAGTAATAAAGTTTACAATTTTTTTATGGCTTGAAAAATTGTGAATAACAACAATAATTTTATTACTGTGACTTTGAGCTTACAAACCTGTAGATTAACCATTATGGAAACATAACATTGATTTTGGTTACTTACCATAGTTTTTTTTTTTATGTAAAATGTTTTTAATTAATTTATAAATTTAAAAAATGTAAATTAAATCATTAAAATAAATCAATAAATCATATATAAATCACTTAATATCCATGTACAGTAAGCTACAGCGCAATACTTTATTCAAAGCTGTATTACATATTACATTTTCTCTAATAAACATCCAATGCACACTGAATCTACGATTGATTTAATAGTTATATCCATCATTAGTTAGGAAATTAGGAACATATTTAGAGGTCACATTTGAGGGAGCCTTCAAATTGGGACATCCTTCATTGCACTATGGTGAAGCAACAACACTAGCCAGGTTTCCATCCTAACATGAAGCTTCGAAATCATTTCATTCGGCTTAGTCCCTTTATTCATCAGGGGTCGCTACAGCAGAAGAACTGCCAACTTATCCAGCACATGTTTTACACATGCAGTGGATGCCCTTCCAGCTGCAGCCCAGTACTGGGAAACATCCGCACACACTCATATACTACGGCTAATTTAGTTTATTCAATTCACCTATAGCACATGTCTTCGGACTGTGGGGGAAACCTGAGCTTCCGAATGAAACGCGATTGAACACGGGGAAAAATTGCAAACTCAACAAAAATGCCAACTGGCCCAGCCAGGACTTAAACCAGTGACCTTCTTGCTATGAGGCGACAGTGCTCAGCACTGAGCCACCGTGTCGCCCTGCATAAATCTTTTCAAAGTTCGTAAAAAAAGAAAAAGAGAGTGGCTGATTGTAGTATTGGTAACCTAGCAACCAAATGTAAACAAGGCAAGCATAATGGAGGCAGCTGAAGTGTCACGTGGGTGAAAAGTTTGCTACGCCAGAGTTTACTCAGTAAATTTGTTTCAATCTTCCATTATTTGTTTGTTCACCGTGTCGCCCTGCATAAATCTTTTCAAAGTTCGTAAAAAAAGAAAAAGAGAGTGGCTGATTGTAGTATTGGTAACCTAGCAACCAAATGTAAACAAGGCAAGCATAATGGAGGCAGCTGAAGTGTCACGTGGGTGAAAAGTTTGCTACGCCAGAGTTTACTCAGTAAATTTGTTTCAATCTTCCATTATTTGTTTGTTCAAACCCATTTCAAGTAAGTGAAATATTTTTAATTAAAAATTTGGCATTTTAATCACTCGTTTCTCAAGTGATACTTCAAAATGGACACAGGATGATGGAAGCCCAGTTAGTGATAAATGTAAATGGTAATGATTCAATTGTTTTCGATGCCTTCGATCACATTAACACCAGTAATCGAATTATTTGCCTTAATCTGAATAAGACAATAATATGATTAAGGTTTTTGAATGTTCCTTTCATGATCCCGTTTTACATGTTGTAGCATATAATTCGATTAAGATCATTGCGTCACCACGCTATCCACATTTCCTTCTGAGTTTCATTTTTAACTTGTCAACTTTAACTGCAGTTCGGCACTGTCACTTTCATTCAGGAACATTTCGTGCATGTCCCCCCTGACAAACGAAATATTGGATGAGAGTATGTACTGCTGATAGAGTGTTGTTTAATAGAATTTGATACCATTGGGTAAAAAAAACCTCCGCATTTCATGATGCAGGTGTCTGTGATCCTTCAGACTCGGTAGGTGCAGAGAATAGTGTCAAACAGTTGTGTGTATAGACTATCCTCTTGCAAAATGTTGCGAAAATCCTCAGACGATATTAGTTTTATTGCCGTGTTTACATGTCTGTACTGCACTTCAATAATGCGACTAAAATCGGCATACTCCACTTCTTGATTCGATGTCTGTTTAATTTTATTATGATTTTAGTCGTATTAAGGTAATCAAAATATCTGTTTACATGGTCGACTCTTAATCAGAATATTGTCTTAATCCTATTCAAATCGGATTATTGGTGTCCATGTAAACGTACTCGTTGTATTCATATTTATAATTATTAATAAATTGCAGCATGACGTTTCTGGATTTTCATTTTGTCAAGGAGGTAATATTATTTGAATTTATGTATATATCTAGCATATTTTTTAGAATTCTTCGATATGTAATAAAATTTTATACTTTTGTAGCTACAGTATGGTGTTGCAGTCTTTGTATTAGTCTTTTTGTCATTATTACATTTTCAGGTGCCCTAAACCCTGTGGTCGACTCTAAACAAACATTTTAAGTTGTTGTGTAAATTAATTTTATAACTCTGTCTATCACAGTTACTATTAAAGTTATCATCAACGGTGTGAACAGGCCTTCACTTGTGTACGTGGTTCAGATTGAACACAGACGGTGAGGGGATGTTAAGACTCATTGTAGGTGCACCGAATGTTAAACAGCCTTGCAACCCAAACACTCTTTAGTGTACAGAAGCGTTACATTGCGATTGCTATGGTAACATCAACATCATCTGCAAGAAAGCATTCGTTTAGCAGTGCAATGGATAATACGCATTTACTTTTGATGCAGTAGATATCTGAACAGCCCCCAAAATAAAATGACAAATAAAAGGTTCCTTACAGTAGTATGGTTTAAGGGTTTCACAGATTTGTTCTGTGAAAAAAAAAGGTTAATCTGAGAGAAGAAAAAAAACACGCACAAAGGAATAGAGATAACATGCGTCTCTCTTTTGTTTTTCTACAATACTGTTTGGTGGTATTTAATTTGAGGAAGGCTCATCGTATATTTATGTTTTTTTTTTTCTGGCGTTATCTCCTGTCTCTTTTATAGAAACGAGGGGTGGGGATAAAGTAATAGAACCGAAAGCCATAAAGACCCACACCGAGAAACAAATGGGGGAAAATACACCAAGGCGGAGGAGAAAATGTGATTTAAAAAACATTATTTAGAGAGAGAAGTCACAGAGGAGGAAGGTGGAGAGGTCACGACTGCTGGCCGCTCCACTGGCCCTCCATCGGTCGACGGAGCAGCTCTTCTACATGCCTCGCTACATCCATGGTGTCGTCTAGATCGAAATCGCCATCAGCGTCCAGCATAGGGTCAGCCCTGAGGGAGAGATTTACAAGTTAGGCTGTATAGCTTCAACACAATAATCAAATTCAAATTCGCACAATATACACAACATTTTCGCAGTGTTGGGGAAGCTAGTCTGAAAATGCTGAACACAAAGGAAGGATGTGAATAACGGGATGAGTTCAGGGTGTGCGAAATATAGATTGAACGATTGGGGGTTCAACTTTTTCAGTAATGTTAATTTGTGTTATACATTCTTCAGTTAATTAAATGTATGTATTTATTTAAATAACATTGAGCTTATTAATAAAACATAATTAAGTTTTCAGCGCTTGAAGTGATATTTGAGCTGATTCTGCCTTATTCACACTGCGAGTGACTCGCGATGGTAAAGTGACAAGCAACCGTTCTAACTAAACTTGGAACTAAACTTTGCAGGACACCAGCCCTCCAGAACTGAGTTTGGACATGTCAGCTATAGACAATATTGTATGCACATCTATATTTTGTGCAAATGGACAAATAAATTAAGTGCGTAGTTAAACAAATAAGTTTAGATGTGTGTGTATAAACAGTGCTGTTTGTACCACAGTTATTATCAAGTGTTCACTGCCTGAGGAAAGAAACTGTTCTTGTGTCGGGCAGTTATGGTCATTTATTTGATTTCAACAGAAGACAGAAGCTCAGAGGCCTTTTATACAACAACATTTTGTAAGAACGAAAAGAAAAATGGGTTTTTTATGTGTTTTGCCTGTTTATTTACATGACAAAAGGTGTTTTTTAGGACTGAAGATGCATAAATCTGAAAACGGGTTACAAAGAAAACGCAGCCATTGTAGTGTGTGTAATCACTTGAAAATATATATGTTTCTGTAAGTAACCAGGTAAAAATAGCTATACTTCCATCCACTTATTTTTATGTGCATTTTGAGTATATGCATGAAGAACAGCTGATGGAAACGGCAAGATGTGCATCAAATGCACATAAAGAGTGTGCATAACTGAGTCGGACAAACTTTTTTTTCGATAAGATGTGCATATTGAACAATGGAAACACTTTCTCAAGTCAGCGCATTAAAAAAGTCATGTGTCATAAAACAATCACTGTGTTATAAGAGATCAGGTGGTGAAAAAAAAAAAGCCTTCAAATACCATCACATGTTCATTGCATGTCTGCATTGTGGCGCAAGTAATTTATTAAATAAGGAAAAGATTCACGCAGCTTCTCCTACCTCAATAAACTCCATTTTTACTGTTGATATTTGGCGCCAGTTAATCAGGAAGTGAGGAATTTGTTCTGTTTGACTCATTGGATGGAAATGCTGCTTTATTCGCACGTCTTTTATGCGATATTTCAGTTTTGCGCATAAATATAATTTGCATCTTTGGATAGAAACATAGCTAATGAGAGTCTGTGCAAATGATGATATCATGCGTGTGCATAGTATGTGTTTAGGAAACGGTTGATTAAAGTCAACACAACAATGGTAAAACACATGGCAGTGCTGCAGTTGTTCAAGTGTTTCCCAACTCTTGATCATTAAAGTGTGGATTTACTTACAAATTACACACCAAAAGTGGAGACATATCTGACACACAACACAGCAAATTCTTCATACAAAACACACCTTGTGTATACATACAGTGCTCAGGATAACTGAGTAAATTCCAATTGGAAAATAAATATTTTTCTCCATTATTCAGTGAACATACTCACTGTATTTTGGTTCATTTAAACAAAACTGATTTTTTAAACAGATATATTTATTAAAATAATATTTTAGTCACCAAACATATTGAGAAATTGGAAGATAATACAAATACCTGTAAATTCAAGCAAAATATTGAAAAAAAAAAACAACCTACAAAATTTCAACTAAATTTTTATTTTTATTTTTGCTTCTCTTGATTTTTCCTCCTTTTTAAATTTGTATTTAATATTTTTCTATAACATATAAATTTGGCTTTACTAATTTTTGGAGGGTTCTTGTAAGTTATTTAGTACGGAAGCGTAGAGCTGCCACCCAGGTAAAAAAAAATCTGAGCTTTATCACGTTTGTACAATATACTTTTCACGTTCTTACAATATAATATCACGTTTGTACAATATAATATCACGTTTGTACAATATAATATCACGTTTGTACAATATAATATCACGTTTGTACAATATACTTTTCACGTTCTTACAATATAATATCACGTTTGTACAATATAATATCACGTTTGTACAATATAATATCACGTTTGTACAATATACTTTTCACGTTCTTACAATATAATATCACGTTTGTACAATATAATATCACGTTTGTACAATATAATATCACGTTTGTACAATATACTTTTCACGTTTGTACAATATAATATCACGTTTGTACAATATAATATCACGTTTGTACAATATACTTTTCACGTTCTTACAATATAATACACCGTTTGTACAATATAATATCACGTTTGTACAATATAATATCACGTTTGTACAATATACTTTTCACGTTCTTACAATATAATATCACGTTTGTACAATATAATTATCACGTTCTTACAATATAATATCATGTTTGTACAATATAATTATCACGTTCTTACAATATAATATCATGTTTGTACAATATAATTATCACGTTATTTGCCGCCATACGTGCGCACAGATGATGATGTGCGCGCGCGGGACTTTTTTTCTCGCGCTGGATCAGTTGAGCGCGCGTGTGAAGATCCCCTGTGCGCTCGCGTATGTAATCTGCTCACGGTTCACTTCTAAACGCGCGCAAACATCACTGCTACGCTCGATTAATATTGGCATTGATTTGCCGACATACCACGTCGACTCCTACGACAAACTGAAGCCCTTTGGAATCTGTATAAATGGAGCCATTGATGGGTTTTCGAGAGCTATGATTTGGCCTCATGCCTTTTCAACAAACAGTGATCCCAAAATTATTGCTGGTTATTCATAGCAGAAGTTGAAAAGAGGCTTGGGACACCTTCCCGGATTCTCTCCGATCTGGGAACAGAAAATGTCACAATGGCAGACATGCAAAGATTCTTGCGATGGAGTATGGATCATAACGTCAATAACTGGTTTATTACTGGGTCTAGTAATCAAAATCAGTAGCTGCAAAATTTCCCCATGTCTCAATCCAAGCATAAAAAAGAACATAATTAATTCTGTAAAACGAGACATTTTCTCACGCTCTGATCGCACCAGTAGCCTAAGCGATAAAGTTTTCACGTAATAACGTGATAATTATATTGTACAAACATGATATTATATTGTAAGAACGTGAAAAGTATATTGTACAAACGTGATATTATATTGTAAGAACGTGAAAAGTATATTGTACAAACGTGATAAAGCTCAGATTTTTTTTTACCTGGGTGGCAGCTCTACGCTTCCGTAATTTTGTTAGATAAACTCCAGATGTGGCTTCAGTACTGACTAGTCTAATGTATAAGCACCAATATAATATAATATTGTATAGTTTCCTATTCAAAATATGAATTGAAAACACAGATTTGTGAGGGGTGCACTTATATATGCTAAGCACTGTATGTATACACATACAGTGTATACATACAGTGATATAATGATATAAAGCAGTGTTTCTCAACCATGTTCCTAGAGGTCCACTAACTTTGCAAAAAATTTTCCAAGTCTCCTAAACCAGTGGTTCTCAAACTATGGTACGTGTACTGTACCACTAGTGGTATGCAGGCTTCCTTCAAGTGGTACGCGGAGAAATTAAATATGTCATGTACATGCTACACACATTTAACAATTTATCAAAAATGATGTATATAATATGTCATATATGACATATAGCCTATATTTCTGAGGTAATCTGCCACGTTTTTTAACTGTGCTGAGTTGTGGCTGCTTTACTGGGCCTACTGCGCTACTGTATTTCAATACTGCTCATTTTGGTGGTACTTGGAGAGACAATTTTTTTCTGAGGTGGTACTTGATGAAAAAAGTTTGAGAACCGCTGTCCTAAACCAATCACTGCAGATTCAGACCATCAGCTCATTAGCAGAGACTGAAAGACCTGTAATAGGTGTGAAAGATGAAGGAGACATCCAAAACGTGCAGTGTTGGGGGTCCTTCAGGAACACGGTTGAGAAACACGGATATAACGTACGTAACTTCCTTACTGTTTACTAACAAGATGACAACACCAAATAATGGCCTGGCATACGTAATACAGCCCTTTTGGGTGTTTTCAAGGATATGTGTAAATGCAGATCTTTTTAAAAATGTTGTCGTGTGGAGTTACAGTAGAGTAAATTGTCGATATATTTATACATTTTGTCCTGCTAATGTGGCCTCAAAAAGGTCAAACCAAATGAGGGAAGATAAACGATGAGGTGTTTTCATATTTTGGTGAACTATGTCTTTAAAAAAATATAACGTTTTGAAAAGAGGGCCATTTGAGAGAGGCTAATATTTATATTTTTTCACAACAACACAAAATTGACCTGCCAGAAATGCATAAAAATCTGAAAAAGGTCAGCTAAATTAGACTGCTTTGTAAATAGTACTATTATAGTAATCAAATATTTAGTATTTTCTATAATTAAAATTCTATTTAAACTTTACTGTAGTAAACACAGAATTATTAGTGTACTCACATTGGAGGATAGAGTCCGTAAGGGTGTGGGGCACTGACAGCTGGAGATGATGCTACATGGTCCATGTAGGTGGGGTTTGCTGCAGGGTCGGGGTTTGGAGTCGCAAACCTGTATGAACACAAAAACACACACTCAAATACTTGACATCACATGTGCTGTTTTACCATTATTTATTCACTGTTATGATAATAATACTTTTACATATATTTTAGTAATTTAATGTGCTTTTTAAATGTAAATTTTTTCATTGGAAAATCATTTTGTATTTGTATTATCTGTTTCTAAACTAACATTCTTTCGATTATTATATTTTCTATTATTTCAAGGTACTTATATTTTTTCCATCTATTATTGAGAATTGATATTGAAACCACATAAAACTATCAGAAAAACATTTCTTTTTATCTTTTTACTCAATAAAATTTCTAAAAACTATATTCTAAATATCTATTATTAGACACTTAATTGGCATTTTTAATCCTGATTAACTCTAGTTTGGTTTGCAGTGCTAGCAGTCAAAGTTCTTGCTAACTCAATCAAACATAATAATATTATTTTCTGTTAACACAGAACTGTCATCTTTCTACCTTCCCTCAATTAAATACAAGATAGCTCATTTATTCTAGCTGTTCAATACTAGTGTACAGTTTGCTACAGACATTAGTTAGCAGTGCTAACATTGCTAACTCTAGCTTGTTTATTGGAACAGATTATTTCAACTCTCTTAAAATATAATGCATTCATTCATTGTCTTTTCGGCTTTCTTTATTAATCACTTCCTTTATTAATCAGGGGTTGCCACAGCGGAATGAACTGCCAACTTATCCAGCATATGTATTACGCAGTGGATGCCGTGCATTTATACTTCTAAACGCTGTTTGTGTTACTCTGCAATACCACTTCTGAAACGCTAGCTGGCAGAAGGTGTTTATGTTTCTCTGTGTCGAGTTTCTTTGCTGGTGTTTTGCATTTTTTGAACTACCTTCATGTACAGGTAGCTCAAACACGCTTATTTTGAGGCTGGAACCAGCGGACGTGCAACAACATTAATCATAATGTAAACACAAAACAACAGTTTTCATCTAGAGCTGCTTCACGGGACTCGACACTTGTAAACACTCACTTCATCAGGCTGGCGGCTCTCAGCCCACACTCGTCAGCTCTACCCAGCCGACCAATCACAGAACTTGCGCTACACGTCATCGCAACATGTAGTTACATTTTTGAGAGGTGTACCTCAGATTTGCTCAGATTGTTCTTGCTAACTCTAAATCTATATTTTATTGATAGCTTCCAATAACATTACTGCTATAAAAAACAGCTTAAACCAGGCTGGTTTTACCTGGTCTACCTGCTTGGTTTTAGAGGGGGTTGGGGAGGCTGGGAGATGACCAGCTAAAACCAGCTTCATCAACCTAGCCAGCCTGGGAGCCCAGCTAAAACAAACTTTGTCTAGCTTAAACCATCTTGACCAGCCTGGTTTAAGTTGGTCATAGCTGGTTTAAGCTGGGCTCCCAGCCCGGCTAGGTTGATCAAGATGGTTTTAGCTGGTCATTTTCTGGAATGGCCAAAACCACTTAAAACTAGGCTGGTCACCAGCTAGAACCAGCCAACCAGCCTAGGCTGGTTTAAGCTGTTTTTTTTTCAGCAGAGATTTCTTGTCTTATTTCTGCTATTTCTCTCACTAAAACATTTGTAAGTTTGGAAGCAAACAAGTTAAGAAAAGTCCTAAAAGGCTTGATATCTGTTCACCTCATTTATCGTTTGCTACAAAAATTAGCAGTGCTGAAAGTCAGAAAATTCTTCCTAACTCTAGATTATTTATTGCTACAGCTTTCAGTAACATTTCTTTCTACTTTTCCCTCATTAAAATAGAAGACAGCTCCACAAATAAAGAGAGTCTAAGCTCATTTATTCTATTCATCTCTAGTTTACCGTTATCAGCAGTGCTAATTCTAGCTTGTTTTTTGCTACACCATTAAGTAGCATTTTCTGTGCTCTTTCAACTCTCTTAAAAAAATATACACAAGCTCAAAAAACAACAACAACAAATTAACAAAAAATAGTCAGCTCAACCATTCAGCTGAGCTCTAGTTCACAATCTAACCTACACATTAGCAGTGTTAGCACTCAGAGGGTTCTTGCTAACTGTACAGCTATAGTTTATCGATAGCTTCCCATAACATTTCCTGTTATCTTTGTGCTCTCTCCCTCACTAAAACATGGTTTAAAAAACAAACAAAAGACATGTTCAGCTCCTTCATTCCGTTTATCTCTAATTCACAGCTTGCCACCCACTCTAACGCTCAGAGTCTTCATGCTAACCTGCAAAATTAAGAGCTATTTCATAATCACTTCCTGTGAATGCTGATGAGAGCAACTGAATTATCTGGGACTGATGGTGCACAACTCCCTGTTGAGTTTGCCCCGAAGAAGAAGACTCGCTAACAAGACCAACGAGGTCGTCCACCTATGGACAAATAATGCCGCTAATGAGGCTAACAGAGCTAAGTATATGCCGATGAGAGGAACACGAGCACAGAGTCTCATGTATCCAAGGCAACTCGTAACTGCCCACTGCGTGAGGCCAGCACTAATATGCTAGCGCGCAATTAGGTTTTCCGCTTGGAGAAGTCAGGTTGCTGAAAATCAGTCAAGTGGAGACCTGTAGCTATACCGAGGGGTCAGAAAAACATGAGGAGACAGAGTTGCGTGTTTGTGTACTTACTCTGGCACTACTTGTTTGATTTGCGGTTTGACGTATCCGTCCACGGCTTTAGCTGGAGAAGTGGGAAAGATAAACAGATTATTCTTAAAGTGTAACATAACATTTGGTCACACACTGCTACAAATGAACACACATGAATAGAAAACACTGCTGAATAATAATAATAAAAAATATAGAAACCAACGCAGAAGTTTTTAATGGTTTTCACTATAAATGCTATTAAATTCATTTGAAAGCATCATATTTTGATGGTTTCTACGGGTGTGTGTTTGGGATATACTACATTAAAGTTAGTGGATGTTAATATGACACCAATATACAGAGTTCATCCACATTTTTACCACAAAAATTCCATGACTTTTTCAGGCCTTTAAGTAAATTTTCATGACCTAATGTTTCATGTAATGTCTAATTAGATGTAGTAAATCATATGAAACGTATACATTTATTACAGCATATCATAAAACACGCAATAGTTTCAATTTATTTTTATATCTATGTAAAATAGATGATGCTTACAGCATGTTTTTGGCCAAAAAAAGAAAAGTTAAAACAACTAACCTCCATTCCAATATATTCATCAAGCTAATTTTGATAATCTTAATAGTTTGTTAAAACTATAAGTAAACATTATTTATTTGTAAAGGATGCTATTCCAGTGTGCGTGTTTCCCAAACAACTACATAACTCACGGCTAACCATCATAGTATGATGTAACATTTGGGAAAAGAACGAATGACGAGTGTTTCCCATAACCGTAGTTTCTCTAGTCGCAGATATGTTACTTGAACCATGCTAGTTATAATAACGTAAAGCGTCCATTTTGACGCTCTAAACGGGGCGAAATAACAACTTCTTTAAAGAACACTCCATAATTTATAGTGCGAATTATATTGTTGTACTCGTTCACACATTTAAAAAAAAAAAATCCAATATTAGTTTTGGTAAAAACATGCACTCTTAATTGAATTATATATAAATGACACATATAGGGCCTGTTTATTTTACAAATATTATTAAGAATATGCCATATTCTATTCCTAAACATGAAACCACTTAGCTAACACATATTTTAATCTCATGTACCTATAAATCATATAAATCGTTAATGGCTGTAATTTACAGTAAGACATGAAGAAAAATCCTACTTAATAATAATTGTTATTATAATTAAGTAGGATCTTGTTTATTTTATTTTATTTATTGTAAAAGTCTAATTTTACACTTTGACTCATTTAAACCACTACATAAATGTTCTAACCAACAGGCCCAAGTCATATACAGTACAGATACAATTTTTAAATAACCTACTATAAAAAAAAACATTAACGTATGCTATATATTTTTGTTTTTACAAGCTTTGAGACGTAAATTCTACTTCTAAATAATAAGCCATAATAAGTATAGGTTTAGTAATGAGCCACGGCTGCAATTAAACTGCATACATGTTTGTTTAAAGTTCACTACAAAGGAAGCGCAATTGTCAATATGAAATTCGCTTAAACTGAATTGTAAAAAAATAAGAATAATAATTGTAAAAAAAAAAAAAATAGAGAAAACTAATGTTTTTTTAAATCATTCCAAGTTTAAATGTTGAAATATTCTAAATGAATAGGGCATAGGGGGATAACTGGAAATAGAACACAACCAGGAAATATGCTTCTAACCACAGCTCTAGAGTTGTAGTTGCAAGCTCAGAAGTTTGCAATGAATTTGCCAATGTTCGTTGTAACTATTTAGGAAACGCCAAATCAACAAACTATGTTTGTAACGACTCAACTTGCGACCTTAATTGGCTAACAATGCTTTTCAGAAACGCACCCATGTATAGCTCCAATTTAAATATATTTATACTGTCTACCCTATACACAACTCCTTAACTTTTCTGATTTTGACTGTAATGATGTGCACCTTTTGTGAAGCTGTTTTGGAATGCATGTCATGACTTTGCCAAGTACAAATACAATGTGATCCTGTATTAACATCTATGTTGATCCTGAAACATAATTTTTGTTTAAAAATGTAATCGAAACCTATTACCTACTCTTAAACCCAACCATAACTGTAAGTCATTTCCAAAATCAGAGGGGAATAATAGTTCTATAACAATTATGTAGAAGTGCATAAACTTAACTATATGTCTAAACTGTAAATGTGTCCCTTAATTTTGATTGGAACATTGTTCCAGGATCAACACAGATGTTAATCCAAGAACATGTCCTACTTGGTAAAATCAGGTTGGCGGCTTTGGAATGAGAGTTATTTAAGTTATATAGTTATAGTTATTTAAAAAAAGTTACCATTTTAGACCAGTACAGTATAGAACCAATTTAATTTCCATTATAAACATTAAATCCACTCTAAAACCATCAGAACTTCTGTGAGGGTTTATATTGTTTTTTTTTTATTTCAGAAGGAAAGTTTCCCACACTGATACACTCTCATTTGAACCCATAGATATGAACACAATGTTGAGTTAATGGGAGTTCAATTCATTTATATATTTTAATGGATTTATAAATTAAGCTACATATTTCAGATTATTTGGATGAAGACACTCAAAAAGTAATGTATTAAGCGCACCACAATTTAGATATTATAGAAAAATATATATATTTCAGTAAGTTTTTTTTTTACAGCATAAGATTGGTCCATCTAATTAATTTAATTATTATTAATTATTACAAGTTATTTATTCAAGAGGCTGATTCATTCAGAGATGGAGTTTCCTGTCTGTATGAATCCATGTTTTAAACTATGGTCTATAAATAAGGAGAACCATTTACTTAAAGTAATGTCAGTCATTTTTGACCTTGTGGGGACATTACCAAACTTATCAATGATATGAAATGAAGTCTATGAAAAATCCTAACAAAGATTGCTATACAAATGTGTGTGTGCAGGTTTATATAGACACAAGTTGTATGATGACATGCGTATGTTGGTCCTGATGTGTGTGTGTGTTTAGTAATGCCACAAAAGACAAAATAATAATACATGAACAATTATTTAAATGATGACCAAGAATAAGCTTACACAGAGGTGGGGTGTAGTATTTGGAGAAGACCTCATCTTTGGGTCGGTCCGGGTAGAGGAACAAGAGATGATTCAGGTCACTGATACGATCTGCCAGGGAGCGGATAGAAAAGTCTTTGGTTGTGTATGGCATGAGGTTCCACACCATCCTTTCCCCTGTGAACAACACAAACACATTTACTCTCTGGAGATGCTTTAAAATGGTTACTTTTTAACATGTTTTTTTTTTTTTTTAATCACCATACATTTTATCAGTTCTTGCTTTCCCTGGGGATCAAATACACAACCTTGGCATTAGCAGCAGTCTAATATTTGAGCTACAGGAAGACTTGATGCATATTTAATGGATAATCAATGGCTTGCTGTGCATTCAAAGATTTTAAATGCACAACCGAGATACAAATAACCCTCAACCACAAAGTGCATTTAATGCACGGCAACCTGTTAATTATCCTGCTTTTTCCATGGTCATATGTGATTTCGACAAGTTAATAATAGATCTTTGCAATATTTGATCATTTTTGATCAGTTATAACAGTGTTTCTCAACCACGATCCTGAAAGACCACCAACACTGCATGTTTTGCATGTCTCCTTTGTCTGTCACACGCATTACAGGTCTTTCAGTTTCTGCTCATGAGCTGATGATCTGAATCAGGTGTGTTTGGTTAAGGAGACATGGAAAATGTACAGAGCTGGTAATACTTCAGGAATGTGGTTGAGAAACACTGATAAATAATATGTCTTAATCAGTCAAACAGAGAGAGAGCCTGTGTGAGAGAGAAAGATGCCTGTGCATGCACATCTCTAATAGCTCATAGTAACATGTATTAGCAATTTGAAAATACTACATATAAATGCGCATTGCAATAGAAAAGCCTAACGGGGATCTCACAATGCACTGATGTTGTTATGCAGCTTCAAAATACAACATGCACATATTTAAATGTTTGGAAAATGCCAACTTGGGTATTTTATGATGCAAAAATATAACATAAAATTTAAACAGCGGAGGTTAAATGGTCAGTTGTACAGCAATCTGACCACTTCTGCAGTGCTGACAAACACATTACCGTACAAACAGAAGAAAAATCTAATGTGGGTAAAAATAATGTCGTTTTTGACACAGATTGTAAGGTTCATTAATAATAATCGCATTGCCTACATGTAAAGATTCCATTGACTTTTGTTAGACTAAAATTAGACTAAATCTACAATTATTTAGAAGACTTAAAGAAACACTTCATATATTTTGTAAATAGGCTCATTTTATAATTATAAAAACTTTTAAAAGTGTTTTGATCATAATCCTTGTTAAAGTTTGATTCGTTTGTAGTTACATTGGGTACTAATGCTGTGTTTACACCAGACGTGTAATGTGAAAAATCACGCTATTCGCAAATAAATAGACGTGTGAACATTTTGAGTTTACTCGCTTCATTTGTGCATCAAATCCGCTTTATTTGTGCTTTGATGTAGAAATTCACGCTTTATTTTATTCGTGTCATGAGCAGGGCTTCAGACTGCCCGGTGACTCTAGCTTTGTTGCAAAATGGCTAACATGATTTTATAAAGAGAATAACTTTGTTTATATGCTTTAAGAATGCTGAAAAACAGCGTTGATTCGTTTGGAGCCGTGTCTGAGTCCACTAGATCCTTTCAGGGGTGCATCAACTCCTCCAGAAACTTAACCTGGATGATGGAAGCTTTCAGCTGTGCTTCCGACTGTGTCGAACGCAGTTTGATTAACTGTTGTCCAGTGTCGGCTGGAGGTTTTCCCCATAGGACACCAACAACAGGCGCTACATCATAAGCACGCCTCTACAAGAGAAAGCTCCTGATTGGTTAATACAGCGCTAATGTCTGCTGAAGTACAGATTTTCAAACTTTTCACGTAAAACGCATTTTATGTGCTTCAATCGCACAAAACACTCAATACTCAATTCATGCCAACTGCGCCATCTCATTCACGCATATTGCACCGCAGGATGTGAATTTGCATCTTTGCATTGACTTAACATGTAAATCACTCACACTTGATACTTCTTCCACGTCCAACGCAGCATAAGACTGACAGAAACTTAAATGTTGCCATTTTATAGACCAATATGTGTAGGAACTATGAGAGGAGTCTGGCCTATCATGACTTTGCCAAGTAGGCCTACAATGCGATCCTAGATTAGCATCTATGTTTATCCTGGAACATCGTTTTTGTTCGAAAATGTAATCCACACCTATTCCCTACCCCTAAACCCAACCATAGCTGTAAATGATTCCCAAAATCAGAGGGAAATAATAGCTAAATAACAATCATGTAGAAGTGCATAAACCTAACCATAAGCCTAAACTTAACATAAACAGTAAACGTATCTCTTACTTCTGATTGGATGATTGAAACATTGTTCCAGGATCAACATAGATGTTAATCCAAGAACATGTCCAACATGGTGAAATCAGGGTGGCGAGGGGTTTAAATGCAGACTCGGTGTAGGTGCAAGCTGAGCTTCATGCAATGTTTTTAATGCCCACACCAAACCCAACCCATAACCCTATCCCTCACAGTGATGTCACTAGCTCCAGTGAGTATATTGTGTCAGACATTGCATCTCTGAGATATGAAATCTCCACTTGCAAATCAAAGTTTGCATCCATATATTATTGGGAACTATAGTCTCATTATAAAAACTAATTTTTGAGTGAGATGCTAACGGTCTAATCCGACTCAATGAGCTATGCTAAGCTAAGCTAAAAGTGCTCCTGATGACCTGAAGATCGGCTAAATAAATTTAAAAATACATGGTAAAACGTCACTGTTTAGCTCTAGATGATTTGTAAAATGAGTTCAATTACAAAATAAGTGAAGTGTTTCTTTAAATATGACTAAAACTAGATGCCGTTTTAATCAAAAGTCTAAAATTAAAGTCTAAATTTTTAAACTAAATCTAAACTTGCTGCTTGAATAAAATAGAAAGAGCAAAGTAAACTGTTTTAAACATCATTCAATTAAATAGATAAAACAGGAAACAAATAGTTATACCTGCTTTGTTAGGGTTCTCCGCCACCCAGGCTATAGTGATGCCGCCGATTTCTGAGTCGCTGAATCGCAACAGGAAGGTCCCGTTGGGTTTGGACATCAGCATATCCTGAGCTTGCTGTTTATTCACAAAGCCAAGAATTGCCCTGAGACACACAAAAACACAAACACAAACACCAGTGCATTTGTAATCACAAAGGCAGAGAGTGTGTACGGTTCAGTTTTATCATGATTTCTGTACAAAGCATTACAAGTCATGGCCAACTGGGGCTTGAACAGGATAAAGATAAGAAAATAACAACAACAAAAAACGCACAAGATCATATCAAACTCTCAAGTGGTCTCTCAGATCTCCCTCCTGTGTTAATCCGTGCATGCTTTAATGTCTTGATGTATAGTTTTAACCTGCACTATCTCTCAATCAGGCAGTTGCCATGGCAAAGAAGCACTTCATTATGAATATAGCCTGTCCATTGTAGAAAAAAAGGTAAAACGGAACAAAAGAACCAGAATCTAAAAAGAATGTGAACCATTATGAATAATGTTTCCTTGCAGAGCAGCCAGGTGAAATGTACCAAGCATGCATGTTATATGTTATGTTTCACTAAAGTCATGTAATCATGACTTTTCCCCCTGGCAATTAAGTACATTTATCATTTAAACTTAAAAATGCTGTCAATTTTTTTATTATTATAGTGAGATTCACCCCATGGTGACATTAGGCATAAAGTGCTCAGCATAACTGAGAACAGCCCATTTTGAAAATGAATACTTGTGTCCATTTCTCAGTGTATATAGGCAATGTGATTTGGTGTACCTACAAAAAAAACCAGATTTATTAAACAAATATATATATATATATATATATATATATACATATAAGTAATATTTTAGTCACCAAGCATTTTTAGAAATGGAAAGAACATCCAATTAAATAAAAAATGCAAATAAATAAATAAATAAAAACAAAAAAAATTACAACCTACAAAATTTCATCAAAATTGTTAAATTTTTTTGCTTCTCTTGATTTTTCCTCTTTTTAAAAAAAAAATTGTATTTAATATTTTTCTACAACATAAATTTGGGTGTTTCTCAAGTTATTTTGTTAGATAAGCTCAACATTTGGCTTCAGTACTGACTAATCTAATGTATATGCACAAATATAATATTGTATAGCTTTCTATTAAAAGATTGGTTAAGGGGGCTAATAATATTGACCTTAAAATGGTTTTACAAAAAATAAAAACTGATTTTAATCCAGAAAAAAAAGACTTTCTGCAGATTACAAAATATTACATCAAACACTGTAAAAAAAATCCTTGGTCTGTTAATCATAATTTGGGAAATATATGAAAAAGAAATTCGCAGGAGGGCTAATAACTTTGACTTTAAGTTTCTGTTTTAGTTTTATTAATTTAGTTTATCAGAGTTAACATCAAGTGTTTACCAAAGTTTAGTTTTTTGGAAACCTCTTAGTAATAAAAACTAAATAGTTGTTTGAATAGACACTGAATCCAAAACCATAAAATGCAACTTAAGCAAATAAAAGTAAAAATGATGAAGCTTTAACAAGAATCTTCTTCATACTATAGATCATGGCCTCTATTCCACCTATATAGGCGCAAATTTTAAAGCGCATGGCACAAAAGCATTAAGGGCATTTCTGAATCCACTTTTGCTATTTTATGGACAGAGAAATACATTTTGCGTCCTGGCGCATGGTCTAACAAGGTTTGCGCTTATTCTCTTAATGAGATATAGGTTGGTTTCGAGCATGACCTACATTAAAGCAATCAGAGTCTCATCTCCCATTCCCTTTAAGAGTCAGTTGCATCGCACCATGGCGCATTTGCTATTTACATGGAAGACTTTGCAAGTGGAAAAACTAAAAGCTTCAATACCGAGAAAACAGTTAAATAAACCATCTGCAGCGCGGGAATAAAGAATGAACCTCCTCTATTCGGCCTCTTTACTTTATTTTTACTCTTTACTCCTTCACATTCTTGGAGTAAAGAAACGGTGAAAACTCACTCCAATGAAGACATCCATTAGCCAACATATTTAATTTCGTAATTTTGTTTGTTAAGCACAAAGATTTGTTTCAAAACTATTTCTAAATTCTGTTCTAATTTACAGCAAATGAATAAATGAACAGTAATAAAAAACTGTGGTCAAAAGCTGAATTATATCCGAACACTTCGTATTGCCACCATATGGTGATGCATATATCTCCAAAACAATAATTTTAATCCTTAAATTTTTTTTTCATTTGTAATGATATTTGTGTATTGCTGTACATCCTGTGTGTATTAAGCAATGTGTAAGGGTTTTGGAACAACATAAGACGCATAAATAATGCACTCTTCAAATAACAAAAACTCTGCACTGGACTTTAGGCCAGCTTTTAGTTGATCAATGGTGCGATCTATTTCTGTAGTCTCAAAATAGCAACGTGTCAACAATGCGCCGTAACACGCCTCCTTTTCCAATCAGCACACCTATATCCACAAAATGGCGCAGATGTATTTGCTATTTAAACAACGTGGCACAAAACATGGAAAGGACAATTGTTTATGTCTGAAAACAGCAACAAATCGATACACATACACAAAAAGATACACATCTTGTGCCTTATTTCGTGGGCTGTATAATAGGGCCCCATGTACAGTATGTAGTTAAACATGCCTACTGTTATTTTTTGGCAAATGCTGAAAAGTTAGAACATGTTTTATGTTCTTATAAAAAAGACGTTTCAGTATATAATCATGCTCTTGGCTGATGTGTTTGTCTGTAAAAACATATCTACAGTTGTTTGTCTAAACAGGTCAGTTTGCTACCACAGAATGACTGCTTACTAATTCTGAAAATTATTAATTATTTGTGATATTAATTTTTGTTGACTTCATTTTTAATTGATGTTAAATTCATTTAGTTTCAGTTTTTCATTTATTATGATTTTTTATTTATTTCAGGTAACAAAAATGATTTTGACCAATAGTTTTAGTCTTAATTTTGGTTTACTGAGACAACCTGGCTGCAGTCACTGACATTAATTCTTTATTAATGTGGTGTTTACATGTATTCATGTTTTAACAGTTCTTACCCGTCATTCCAGTGAGGCTTCAGGTGTTTTTTAGTAAGCTCCATAACACCATCAAACCACTGCCAAAACGTGAAGTTCCTGCCTGGTAAACTCTCCTGCAATGACAAGAAGGAAATTAGCTTTTAAATGACTAACATGCACACCAAATGTGCGAGAAAATAGGTATTTTATTAATTCCATAATTCTTTAGTTTTACTATATTGACTTACAGTATATACACTGTTAAGTAAGATAAGAACTTTTGGTCAGTCATATGCATTCAATAATACGCTTTCAATTGTATACATCAAGTCTGTGGTTCTAGTTCCGTTGCTGAGAGTGTTAAAATATTAAGGAGAACAAGGAGAGAAGTGTTATCAACTATTGAGGAAAACATCATGTGATATGACATATGTGCGTGTGTGCTCACATGAACAACAATGTACAGTCTAAGTCACAATTTTTAACCCTCATGTGAATTTTTTCTCTTTAATAAATATTTCCCAAATTATGTTTAATAGAGCAAGCTATTTTTTTTACAGTATTACCTATAATATTTGTTTTTCTTCTGGAGAAAGTCTGATTTTTTATTTTTTATTTTAAACGCTAGAATAAGAGCAGTTTAAAAAAAAAAAAAAAAAACATTCAAAGACAATTATACAATATGAAGCCAGATCAGTCTCAAAAATAATGCATTTACAAAATATTATCCATACATCCACAACAAGTCACATTTACAAAGTCCAATTTGTAAGTTCAAAACCCTATTCGTAAATACACAAATCCAATTCGCAAATTCAAAACTTGATTTAAAAATACACAAAGCCAATTCGTAAATTAAAAAAATATATATTTATAAATACACAAATCCAATTTATAAATTCAAAACACAATTCATAAATACACAAATCTAATTTGTAAATTTAAAAAAAACTATTCGTAAATACACAAATCCAATTCATAAATACAAAACAAGATTCATAAACACAAATTCAATTTGTAAATTCAAAACACGATTCAAAGATACACAAATCCAATCCATTAGGTGAAAATACTTATGATTTTTACAAACTGGGTGTTGTATTTATGAATTGTGTATTTAATTTATAATTTGAATTTGTGAATGTGAATTGTGCTGGGGATGTATGAATGTATGAATGTATTATTTTTGAGACAGATTTGGCTCCATAATATTAGCCCTCTTAAGCCATATATATATATTTGATTGTCTTCAATGTTTTTCGATTACAATGACTAATGCCTAGATAACCTAATTATTGCTTAAAGTGACCTTTAAATGTCACTTTAAGCTGAACACTAGTATCTTGAACAATATCTAGTAAAATATGATGTACTGTCATCATGGCAAATATAAAATAAATCACTTTAAATAACTAAATTATGTTTTACACATGTTATTAGAACTACTGTTTAAAAACGTATCCAGAAATTGGAGAAAGAAATATACAGGGTGGCTAATAACTCGGTAGAGCTAATAAATCTGACTTCAACAGTATTTATGTTCAATATGTATGATTGTTAAACCCATTGGAAGGAGGGATTTTCCATAAGGAATAATGAGAATCAGCTGATATGAACTAAAACCATTTGTGAAAAGGTAATTTGTGAAAAAGGTAAGGTAAGAATAGAGAACAGATAAAAGCTTCCGTTCTTCTGCCCCACACACTTTGTTTGTTCTGCGACTGAAGCATTTCTGTGTGACTGCTTGACCTGTTCTTTTGGGTCAAATTTTGTCTTTTGACCAAGTCAAGCTAGTTTTTATTCACATTACCACGATATATATAATATAATATTTATTTATATATTTATATAATATATATATATTTTTTTTTTCTTTATTCTTTATTTCTTTTTCTTTATTATTAGAACTTTTTTTGGTCTAAATAGATTTTTTTCTTTCACTGGATTTTGAACAAATAAAACCTTGGGGAAAAAGTACAAAGAAAAAAGCAAGTTACTTCATAAATAAGGAATAATTGACTCCGGGCCATTTTTATCCTGCGGTATAATGGAAACGAACAATATAAAGTTCTAGTTTTTTATGGGTCTAAACTTTTTCGGTGGAGTTCAACGTAAACAATTAAAACCTTAGGAATGAAGAAAAATTCAAGAAAAAAACTATTGATAAAAAAAAGGAAAAAAAGCCTATTTTATTTTAAAATATTAGGGGAACAAAATATAAACTTGTTGGTTTATTTTTTTAATGGTTCGAAACTTCTTTATTTTTAGGCTCACCAGGATGTGAACAATTAAAACCTTGAGCAGAAAGAGAAAGAAAAGAAAGAAAAAACAAACGATTTAATTATTAAATAAGTAATAATTGACTCTGGGCCTTTATTAAAGATTTATGCAAGCCTGTGGTGGTAATGTATTGTACATCGGGGGAGCATTACATTTCTAATACTGCAGTTCAATGCACTGAGTAATTCCACAATGATTCCCAGAGCTAAAGACATTGTTCAGGTTTTATTTAAAGTGGTTTTATGCATTAAAGGTTCTTGTGAGTAGAAGAAGTGTTTAAAGCAAAAAGAGATGGTTTAAGCCATTAATCTGAAGACTAAAGATTTATAAAAGATAGAGAAATAAACAGAGAGAGACCAATTGATTGATTGAGGGCATGTAAATTACTGGAGTCTATGCCTTTACAATAATAGCAGCATTTTTTAGGTAAATGTCTTTGTGAAAAAGCATTCATTTTGTCAATCAATCAATCAATCAATCAATCAATCAATCAATCAATCAATCAATCAATCAATCAATCAATCAAACAAACAATCAATCAATCAATCAATCAATCAATCAATCAAACAATCAAACAAACAATCAATCTCAATCAGTCAATCAATCAATAAGTTTGTCTGTCTGTCTGTCATCCATCCATTTACCCATCTGTCTCTCTATCCATCCATCCATCCATCCATCCATCCATCCATCCATTTGCCCAGTCTGCAAAGACCTCTCATAAATAATAAATCAAATTCTTCAGTGTAGTGATTTGGTACTCTAAATAGGTCAAAACATGCTCAATGTCACTTTTGTTGAGCTTTTTCCTGAAAATGACTGCACATTAGTATGTTTATCAGCCGATCAGAATCAGATATTTCAGATATTATTAATAGAATGCAAATATTTACAATGACTGCAGATTTAAATAAACTGTTGCATCTTAAATTTCAGAGCTCTTTCCAGACTGAGCAAACAAATAATTAACTATGAATTCAATTGGTCACACTTTACAATACGGTTGTTTTAGTTTATGTCAGTTAAATTATTTACTAACACGAATAAACAATGAATAATATATTATTTACACAATTTATTCATGTTTTATCGTTAGTTAATGAAAATAAAGTTGTTAGTTTATGTTTATTCATGATGCATGTTAACAAGCATGAATTCAAATTTGTGGTACAAGTATTGTTCATCACTAGTTCGTATTAGTAAATACTTTAACGAATGAAATCTTATAGTAATGTATGATATACAACATATAAAAATATCAAACTATTTCCATGTATAACCAGAGAAATTACACCTTACATCTTACAATCTACATGTACTATATACATTACTATCTACATATCTTACTATCATATCCATAAAACTAACATACAAAAATGAGGGTAAACCACTTTGGTGGCTATTGACTTTAAAAAAAAAATAGTTTATTTAAAAAATAGTACATTTTACCCCTTTTCAAGATTTAGGATATGTCTTTTGTGTCTCTAGAATGTGTCTGTAAAGTTTCACCCATCAGATTATTTATGCCTTTCAGAATATTGGGATTTTCTGCTCTGTATACAATGTAGCTGTTTTTGTGGCTTGTGCCTTTAATGTTAGTTCTCCCCGCCTACCATTCCCACATGTCTGTCAGAGTGTGCCTCAATCTCCACCTCACCTGAGTCAGGTAAACAGCACAGTGACAGACATGAAGGAAGCAGATCTCACCTAACATTCGTGAGAAATATTACAGTAAGAACTTTCCCAATGATTATTTGATGTATTTGTTGTGGAGATAATTCAATCCTTCCTACAATGATGAGTCACACTCATTAATTTTACAAAGTTCACGCACATACACACAGTGCGCGTTTAACTTTGTACAGCAAATGTGACAGGATCCACTTTGATTTCCACTGCTGTATGGACATCCGTTATGCTAATGTATAAAATCAACCTGATAAACATCCACAAACCAGGATTTAAGCATCTTCTTTTCTAATTGTACGGACACTATGCTGCTGTGGTGATAAGAGTAAAGTAATTCATTACACAGATGCACTGTTTTAAAAACTTGTAAACCTCATTCCTGATCACATTTGATGATGACTGATGATCACAGAGAGCTGAACAGATCTTTTAATCCTGGTTGTTTTGCGCACGTCCTGTCTTGTGGATATGGTTATATGCGTTACTACTGAGACATGTTATCATGCGGCAGTCAAGCAATTCGGTGGGCGGGGAAACCGCACTCCTATGTCACGTTGCCTCAAATTGGGAGGAATTTGGATCCTATTTTAACCTCAGGAAATTATAAAAAGAGACTTTTCGTGTTTCTATCACCCCAATATGAATGAGGACACACTATACCTGCACACAGTTCTGTCCAAACAACTTACAAAAGATGATTTTCATCATAGGTGCCCTTTAAAATACAGATTTCATGTCTCAAATACGTCACTTATATTCCCTCATTTATTTTTTTAAAGTCAACAGCAACCAAAGAAGTTTCTCTTCATTCTGCAATAAACCTTCTTTTATAAACTTCCTAAAATTAATATACAATAATTAAATAAGAGAAAAACATTATTTTACAATGAGCATAGTACAAACTTCAGTTTCTTCAGAGATGTTGATCAATTATGAAAAAAAAAAAAAAGCCAAAACAGGCTGCTGCTGCTGTACGAGTTCCTTAAAACTGAACTTCTTTTCATTGGAAGTGGACCCAGAGTTGACATGGTAAACAGCTAAAAGTGTGTGGGTTTATGAAAGTCAGGCATGACTGCCAGATCGAGAGCATGATCCTCTGCCTCATGTTCATTCTGTTTTTAATCAGCCATCCACAAGCACAGTCACATTACTTAGGACTGAAAAG